ATTTGTACATTTGCCCAAAAGCAGTCAAAATGACTTCCTTGGGCAATCTAATGTTAATACATAATCGAATTCATTAATTCTGATGTTTCAAGTGTCCATTTTGGAGAACGTTTTAACAAGATGTTACATGACAGTTTTTATTGATTGACTCTGTACGTTGTTGACACGTAGTGCGCTTCTATTTCTTATCTCATTTCTCTTCATTTTTCACTTTTCACATGGAACAGTTGTTCTTTACTTATTTCTTCGCCTGTTATTTAATCCAGTTTTGGTAGACGTAACGAGTACAAGGGAAACTACATTAAAGCGCCATGTTTTTCTGTTTCTAACTATAATTCATGCTCACCACTTAATTAGAATTTATCGTTCTATTAGCTAAACGTTCTCCGCTCTTCTTTTGTGTTAATACTTAAATACTCGAACCATTTATCTCTCGGCGTGAAGATACAGAGTAAATGATTGGTGGTGGGTATGAAAATGGTCGCGTGACCAGTGGTAGTGATGTTTGATAATGAAAAGCTGAACCCAGAGGCGAAACAATTACTGGAAGCAATTTAGATGGAGGAAAAGTAATGAACGCGTCCGGTGTGCATTTTTCAAATTAAGAAACCGAGTACTTCATCCTCTAAAACCAATCTTCAAAACGGTTTAATCTATAGCAGAAAACTCGATGAAATTGGGTCTCTAAAACTGGCTCCGAATTAAATGAACGCGCCACTAGAAATACATTTTCCACGGTTCATTCCCCTTGATGAACTCTTCTGAAGTTCACATAAAAAGTGACTCTTTCATTTTTATTTATGCTCGTATGAGTCGGGAGATTTCCGGCAAGAGTTTCAGAAATTTGATCAAAATACTATATCTAATATTTAAACCAATTAATACATATGTATAATATGATGTACAGAGTATCCTAAAACCAGTGTAAGATATTGAAATGGAAGATTCCTGACGTAATTTCAAACAACATTTTCCTTAGCGAAAGGTTGTCCGAGACGTGGTTGAAGAGTTATTAGCAAAAAACCCCGACCAATCAGAGCGCTCAGTTGACGCGATCTTCGAATCGGGAGCATTGGCTCGGATCCGGACGCTCAGCCTATCAACAATCTATCATTTCCCC